TAGGGTTAACAGGTATCCCAAGCTGTTGCAATTACAAATGTCGAGTCGAAGAAGGTATCTAAAATCTAAGATTTGAAGACTCTTAGTATGCCAATTTTGAATCAGTTCAGGAAACTCGGAGAGACTCAAATTCATCAAACCAATAAATCCGACCTGCCAAATCCAAGAAATTAATTGCTAATTATAACGCAAGAAAACGGTAGTAAATTTACAGAGAAAAAGAACCAAAAGAAAACAGAATAGGTGACTTCAAGCTTGCGTTTGATAAATTTTTACGAGTCAATTCATACCTTTGCCGTATACATTCTTTTGATGGTGGCATTGAGGTCACCTTCCAATTTCCACAATTTCCCTCCCTGTACTTGCACCAACCGTGGTGTTTTTGGAGTCTTAGAGAAGATCTCCAATTTAGGGCAGTTTTCTACAATTGGTTCCTCCAGATATGGGAAATCGAAGGTGAAATTACCAGAACAGAGACATGCTAGTCTTATCAAACCTACAAGTTTCAAATATCTCAAACTGCTGAAAATGATCGGATCTTGTGTTCCATCTCCTTCGGTTCTGACTATTTCAGTTAGCTTGTGGCAATATCCTACAGTCATACTTTTTACGTGCACCAGGCTTTGGACTGTTGCAACTGAAACCAAGTTCTCCATTTTATGGCAACCCCATACAAACAAAGTTGTGAGATTCTTGAATGATGTCGTGGCTGTCGATAAACTGATCAAATCAGAACACCAAATTACTTTAAGTGTGTTGAGATTTTGAAGAACACTTGATGAATCTCTGCTCCAAACATGCCTAAGATTGGTAATGTATTCGAGCTTTAATGTTTTAATCCTTGAGAGTTGTGTCTCAAAGTGTTTCTGTTCTTCTTCTTCAACCTCTCCATGTCCATGTGAAGGGAATAACTGTTCGAGAGAACAATATGTTAAAATAAGTTTTTCCAAGTTGTAGAATCTCTGGAGGAAGCCGATTGGAAAAATAGATAATTCACCACCACCGAAAATCCGAAGGACGTTTATTTCAAAAAAGAAGTCTTGTTTAAATCGGCGATCAAGCACCATAGCGATTTCATCTTCTGATAAGGACAATCTCTCCAATTGTGGGATGATCTGGAAAGGAAACAATTCAAACAAAACAATCAGAAGATTATTAACTGCACTTACGGCGTTCCATAACGGCTACTGGCAATGGGCCTGTTTACATTTTTTGATGGAGATGGAGCTGACTCTTGAGA